TTTCACCCAACCGTTCAGTTCCTACAAGTGACGCTACTGGCACGCATCGACGTGAACCGCGACAACAGCTGGCAGGGGGACGACGACTGCATCACGTAATGCTAGAGCACAATACGTAGGTAAACACGGATCGGCAGGCCACCGCTCACGTTATAGCCGTTGCCGCCCTTACCAGCACCATCTGATGTAGTAACGATCTTGCTGTCACAGTTTTGTAGGCCATTTAAACAATGATTTTTGACTGGCAGTCTGACTAAGCCGACCTTTGCAATCATGCCGATGATGTATAGTATTTTAAACCATGTCAGCTGTGTAGGCGTATCAGAATGAAGAAAGCCTTAAAGGTATGGCAGACTTTATGGGCTGCCATCGAGACCGTCGCATACAGACACTAGAAGCTAAGCTGTCATTACAGTGGGGCTACCTTAAATCAAACACCGATCCCTTATTCAAGCGGTGTTTTCCTATATGCAAGGTGGTGTCTGTACGGATGACAGCATGACGCTACCCTTAATACCTCCTATATAGAAGAAGAAACAGTATGCAATAGCGTAATTTACTGCTTTGCTACTACTAAAGCGTAATCCTTTTGTTGACGTCCATCCACTGCTATTACTGCTCCTGTTGTTGACGTTCAGATGTCATCAGAGGAAGACGATCTTATGGTAACCGGTAAAACGCAGGTCCACAATGAATTACACATCGCCGCCCGTTCGACGCATGGCCGCTACATGACGATTGAATAGAATTCCGAATCGATCCGTTGTTAGCCAGACCTAACCAGCCATAGAAAGACGTTCAAAGGAAAATGTTGAATGAATGACGAAGCGAGCGTCGATGGCAGCCCAGCTGTAAATGTAAATGGGTCGAGTGATGAGAAAGCCGTACCTATAAAATTTCGCCTAATATTTCTGTTATTACGGAATTATTAAGGTGACCAAATCGTCTGCTGGTTTCTTTCCGTTAAATATTATGATCTCTGCAGAAAAGGCTGTAGTGTCACTCGAAGGCACCTTGAGGCCTCGAACTCAAAGGCCACCGAACGAGAAATTTCTTTTGGCCACATTTGGGGTTTGTTTCGTATGTATTTTGATTTGTTAATAATAATAATTAAATTTGTCTGAACTAAACAACTGCCATGAAGGACGAAGCATGTGGCTATTGGCCGTCGGTTTGAGGCCATTCCTTATCGAGTATTATAGTCCGCTTGAACGTCACATTCGACATGTCCGCGCTGATGGGTCGGCAGTATAAGTCTGGTACGGACGCATAGACAAATATAGACGAGCTTTCCTTTTCCCCATTGTTTTTTGCCATATTTTGTCGGGCTGACGGAGAGCCGTAACGTGGCTTATAATCAACGTGTTGTATATTAGGTGACAATGTTTCTTTGGTTCTAACTGGGCGCTATTCGCTCGTTGTTGATGTTTCGATAGGGAACATGGCTTAAATTCACATACGGACGCATATGTTGATAATGGCTTCTCCAATGGCTCTTGGCTATTGGTTTTGCAATCGATTGAATTTACGAAATATGGGTTCGCTTATACCAGGCTACCAGATCTAAAAACTGTATCATGTCACGGATTTGAGTAGAATTAATTATAGGGGCTGCAACGTACTCGTCGAATAGATGTAACCAGAGTCTAGAAAAACGTGGCCAAATTTATTTTTGGCGATAGGTGGAGGAACGCCCACTTCGTCTCGCCGCAAGGCCAACTAAACGCATCGTTGTGTCTCTGTATGTGTACTATTCTGATGACGGCCAACGACGAACGGCACTTTAATAATAAAACAAACACTAGAATTTTCTGTTGTATGCAACGGTAGGACCATGTGATTCGTCCTCTTCTTCCTATTTTGTGGAAGAGGGGCTCGGTTATAGTAGTCAATTGCCATACTACCAATCCCACACGATGTGCTCTCTACACTGAACGTATAGGTATCTACAGATGAACAATGCTGTTAGCAGATCATACCTGAAGAATATTAGAGCTGAAAAGTTGCAGTTAACTCATAACAGATGGGCATATTTGAAAATCTCGATTATATTTGGTCGTATCGTTATCTAGATTCTAAGCAACGTACGCGTAGGTACGATTTATTCTAGCACTTTCAAAGCATCGCCATTGCCGTTGACTAATGGCAGCATCATGTGTGTAGGCTCACGTGCGCATGAAGGTGCGGAAGGAACTCTTTTTGGTGCCGAAACAGGTTCGGAGGCCACGAACGAAAGCTACAACTATTTGAGTGGCAAACAGACGATTTACATCAAGCGAAATTTTTAGTTACCGCTTTAAGCTTTTGTTGCAAACGATTGACACGCTTGATTGATCTATCAGTCAGGAAGTCACTATCTGGCAGAGCTTCGCTCATGTGGGCATAGAAAACGTACCTTTCCTATATTGTTCTGAAACGTTACAAAGGTTAACTAATTTTAATCCGAATCAGGAGAGCTCATCGTTAACGGTAGCAATCGGTAAATAAATGAATGAACACTGAGCCCGTAAGTGATGGGACACATAGTTAACCAAACTCAGTATATCCCAATAGGAACTTCCTATTGCCTATTTCCAGTTTGCTGTGGCAGACGAGCAGAACGGAACCACTGTAACTGGCCACGGGACCGAACACCAAATCGGGCCCCCCTTCCCTAACTACCGTATGCTTTATGAGCGTGCTAAATATCGGCGTGCAGCTATTCATCTTTTTTAGTCGCCTCTTGCTTTTATGGCAGCATTAGCCCGTCTAGTCCTTCTATTCGAGCCGTGAGCACGCATGTAGTCGAGACATTAGCTAGAGTCATTTCTAGACTTCGCATTGCAGTATAGTCGCTGGCAGCTCAGAATCACCTTTACCTCAATCCGCCAGCCAGCATTTTGATGGCCATTGACATATCCGTCCCGTTTACTATCTATAGACTCAATCTCGTCACAGTTCTAGTTGGGTTTGGTGCCTCTACTGTTTCTGTTGATGCTTGCTTCAGCCGTTTGATCGTTCTGCCTAGGGCTAAACCTGCATAAACCTGTCGGTGCTGATTTTACGGTACCAGATTATATTCTGGAGCTGTGTCAGTGGTCGATCTGCGCCGACACAGCTCAGCCGAGATCGCCCCGACGGAATCGGCTGATCAGGCGGTCCGGCCCACCTGCCAATTTAAACGTCCTTTTTATCGAGAGACACACCAGGACGATAGCAATTTGACTTTTAAGCTACTGGCGCACCCTTATCAGATAAATAGTACCTGATAAATAGTAAGAAGCTAGGTCGCAGATAGCTAGAGTCGGACAAAGCAAAGTTCGGAAGCTAAGCAAGAAAGGCAGAGTTCGGCATACGTCGATGAAATATTGAAAACCGACGCCACGTTCGATCCCCTTGCCAGCGTCTAGCAACGGGTTCCTACAAACGGTACAAACAGCCCAGTACGCGACCTAACTTGGCAGACAAAAGACTGTCATCTGAGTCAACAGCGACATAACCGAAACCGGAACTCAGCTACAAGATTCAGGAATATGCCAGTCAACGTTATTGTTGCTGATGCAAACGATAGGCACAGCCAGAAAGATGGCGGCTGATTGACTGACATGAGCTTACTTTTGACTGGAACGGATCGACCGTTCCCAAATACATCGGTTTGGGACCTTTGTTCAATGAGTGATGCGTCAGAGCTTTTGGAGTGATCTCAACAAATCGTCCCTGGTGTCATTGGATCAGTCGTTTCATTCGTTAACAGATAGCCCCCTAATGATAATCAGAGATCCTGGAAGTGGACCAATTTAAAAGGAGCTGTCAAAACACATCGCTAAAGAGCAAATAGGTTTACATGATATGAAGAGTTGTATATATATACGCATATTCTGACTCATGTCATTTCAATATCTCATTAATTATCATTAGGGTGCTGTGAGAATTTTTATGCGTGGCGATGTAGAAGTTATTTGCTATAGAGGAATTGGCATAACAGTATAGGGCCAGTTATTAATGTCCTTTACTGATATTTACTATATAAGCAAAAAGAAACGGACAACTTCATTTAAGTGGTGCTTTCATATTTTATGACTCTTTCATTGCTGGCCTGTAGAGCGAAAGCGGCCTTACTTACCTACGGCCTTGTGCTCTCACAGTCTCAAAGCATATATATATGTATAATACTTTGGCTAATAATGTGAGACTCATTTACGACAGCACCTAACCTACGATTTCCTGCAACCCAGTAGTTTAAAAGTTATACCTGGTGGGAACAAGTATGACGAACTTCCGTAGCATTACAGCTTTGTAACTCTGAAGGACTACGGCCAGTTCTAGTCGCATTTGTTTTACTTATATATCTACTATTTATAAGCAGATAGGTTGACAGGGTAGTTAATTTCATGCATGTGTCCTGTTGATGATACATGTATGTCTAGCAAATCATGTCGACTAACAAAAGTGCCATTCTGTATGAATTATGAGTACAAATGTAATCAACGCTCGGTGAAGTACTCGAGCAGATTAGAACCCTTTGATGTTTTTAATATATCCGTAGGTATTCATGAGCGTCTGTACAATATATCCATCTAACCGATAATATTCTGCATGTTTGTCTCGTCTGGTCTGGCATCGTTCACCATTGTAAAAGTAAGTTGGTATAATCAAGTAACGCGCTGCTGAACGACTGCTAAGTTGTATTTCTTTTCCCGCTTAGCTACTGTAGGCGACGTTATAGTTACACGATGGTCAGATAAACAGAAGCTGGACTCAAACGAACTCCATTGTGACAGCCGCTGGCCCTTCTACCATCCCTGACACTGGGCAGAAGGCACGCACAATGCCCTCATTGTTCGCAACCGAAATAGGGGCAAAAGCAACACAGGCGGCAGCAATGCACGTTGTCCAGACTATCTTTCATCGATCCGACTTCAATAGCCTGGATGAAACCAGAACTAACTAGCCATACATTTTCTAAAAATCAAGCATTTAATTTAGCTTGGTCAGAAAATGTAATCCTTACGAATGCAAGCTAGTGGTTGGTTCATTACTGCTTTGCAGTGGCGTCCGATCAGACAGTTTATTAAAAGGAAGATCGAAAACGGTAGAGGCGATGCCGACGAGATTTTGCTCACGTTGGTAATGGCAGATTATGACGCTTTCGAGGCCCGTTTATGGATGGTAGCGCGTCTTGCGGGGTGCTTGACACTTCTACTCAGGGACAGCGGGGAGACGCGAAGATATATTAGGATGATTAATTAGCGATATGGTTTGACTCATTCGCTATAGGCTTACAAAGGGAAAATACAGATGTCTAAGTACTCATTTTATACCGCTTCATTTCAATACTGAATTGATTCTGGACATCTTAAATTAGGATCATATAGAAGGCTCTCCGGGCGTATAAGTCAACGATGTAGTGTTAATTTTGGATAAGTCTCTGGTTACTGGCCTGAACAAGTTAGACACGCATATAGCCAGGCCAAAAACGAATCTTTGCATCGTTCGTTCTCTCTTGCAATTACATACATCGTGCGTTATCTGCAAAATAAATGGTACCCACTTTGCGCGTAATACCCGATGGCCTGCTTAGAACTATATCGTTGTTACTATCTAGCTACATATCACACATAATACGATACGGATGATGCTCGATATGATATTATCAGGCTAGTCAGCCAGGACATGGCAGAGGTAAAAACACGACGCTGCAGTAGTTACCGTGGAGCGACGAACAGGTAAGTAGGCAGGCAACACTTGCCATGTACGATAACAGACAGACTGATGAGTCCTTGCCTTTTGCTATTCCAAATATGGTTGTCCATCGGATTTGTTTGTTGCTGATCGATTTGTGCGAGTGTCGCTGGTGGTATGCGTCAGCAGCTTCTCTTTTCGAAACGTCGCTCCAAAGGAGACAGGAAGACAAGAGACGAACGATGCCAACGAACAAGGAGCTCCCTTGATGAGTTCGAAGACAAAGAATAAGCGGGAAATCTGTCCCATTACTTGAGCCCTATCAGACTTAATAGAGAAGGTAAAAAAGAAGAGAGCATTAGAAGAACATGCGTGTTTGTCAGCCCGTCGTTCGGCAAAAGCCATAACGAGTAACAAGTACTACCGTGTTCGTAACGATCAAGCCAACAACTGTGCCAATATGGTATGTAATAATTATATGATAATAATAACGATCACCCTTCGGGATGAATGTGCTTATATGCGTTCGCAATAGGATACGCGTTCTGTATGCAGCCTGTATGTCCATCTATTTGTGATTGTTCCGTCGTCCGCACAACGTTTACAGCAGGGGTAGTATTCTCATATCGCCTCAAACTTATCTTACCTATACCAGCAGTATGCGGTTGATGTGCGAGTCGCTCGGTCCGCGAGTGGATCATCATCAGCCGTTCGATTGTATTTGTTCGACTGTGTTCAATTGAAAGTTAGCCTTGCGCTGCACCTGTCTGCTAAAAGCGCGCTACAACGAACGCTCCGACGGACCGTCCGCGTGTGCCGCTCTTACCACGACCGTTCCCTGTCTAGGACACGTTTGTCTGTACGACTTCCAGTTTCGCTGAACTCTTCGTTTGGCTGTTTGAAAGGCAGCGTTCGTTCGGCGTCTATTCGTCGTCGACGACGACGTACAAACTGGTCGCCGCAGGATCATGCTGACGCGGTCGGTCGGTCAGTGTCAACGGCACCATCAATAGCATCAGCTGTTGCACAGGTTGAATGGCATTATTATAAAAGTAGGCCCGGTGCAACGACGGTTACGTGCTCAGCGTGCGTTGCTTAGGGACAACAACGTACATCTGCATCGCGCCAGAAGCGGCACATGTACAATAGACGGGCCCGTATAGAGCTCATCTGTTCAACCATTGCGTCGACCTATGTCGATAGTCCGTTTACAGGAGAAACTGACTTTTTATTTAGGCTTAGTTACGGTGGTGCACGCGACTGGGAAACGGTACGCTAGAGACACACGCTGGGCTGGCGCTGCTGTCCATGATGATCCTGATAACTATTGTGATGATCGCAGCTAATAGGCATCAGATCCGATCGCTTTTTGAACGGTCGGAAGTGACAATCGTTAAATAGACGAATAATAATACACTGTTGAACGCTGTCGATGACGAAGCTGATCTGCTTGAGCAGCCATTACCGGAGCGACAGATTTATACGTAGTCATTTCAACTTATTGGATATATTCTACCCTCGTTCAAATGGGACGGCAAACGATATGCAAAGCTAAACAATTCTGGTGAAGACAAAATATGTCGACATAGGAGACTAGTATTTCCCTGCGACTTTATATCGTTCTGAAGTATTATAAGGTACTATGAGATTTATAGGGTAGCGGAATAGAATGCCATCACCAAGGGTATTGTTGTGTCGTAGAATCAAATCGATGGTAACTCGGTTCAGCTCAATATGGTTGTACCAAAGTAATAAGCGACTTCAAGTGGTCAGACAGAAAATGACGAAAAGGGTTTTGATGTGTGACCGACGGAAAGGCTACAGTATAGCGGTATAATTTATGCCATATCCGTAGAGGAAGGTGGCCGTCGTGCCATTGTAGAAGCACATTGGACGGATCAGCGTTCTTAAGGGTTTAACTAATACCTTGCAGTGTGATCAAATTCTTGTTCAACACCCATAGCAGGTGATATTTGGAGGGACGACGAAAGGGCCCACGTAAGAGTCATTCAAGTAGCGGCTACCGCTGTACTCATTGGGTGGCTTTTTTCGCTAAGAATCTTCATTAGCCCCAGCATAGTTGTCTCATTTTCCCAGACAGTGTTTGGGTGTTTGGGGTGCCTTTTCTATGCACAGATATGTTTGCAAATTTTGCGCCTTGCTCCCTTTAGAGCCATATCGTGGACTGGACAGCTTGTGTTGGTCTCTCTACTTTCTGTCTGTCTGCCTGATAACCGGAACTGCTTTCGTAAATAATAATTGGTACCACTAGCCAATAGCACTATACTTATGCGCATTTGTCAATTTTTGTTGTCATTTTATGCTATATGTGTATTAATTTCATACACACTAAACAATAGGGTCACGTTTATGTTCGATTATATAGAACAGATTGATATTTATAGTACACTAATAGCAAATCAAGGGAATCGTTACACACGCTGATGCCACATCGAATTAGCAGTCGTAGCGTTAACTGGGTTCCCGTCATTGTTCACAGACCCCAACAAACGATATGCACACATACAGGTTTTATCGCCCGCACGGCCAGTCCTCAAGAATAACTGAACTAATCATTTAGAGGAAAAGCCCCTTTACGATAAATGTCTCTAGGGTAGGTGGTGCCTAACCGATGCCTTTACACCGCTATTACTGATGACGCTACCGTTGTTATTGTCAACGAGGGCCATCCTTCCGCTACTCAGCGTTACAGACGACCGGTCTCATCCTCTAAACGAACACGGGGTAGCGCCTTTTCACCTTAGCTCATTTATTACGCATATATATTCAATCAGAGACGAATAAATATCTAGTCGGTGCAGCGTCGTCTCCAACAGCGGCGGCGAAAACCGCTCTCAGTAGACAATGTGTGGTCCTACTTGGCACAGAGAGCCTTTTCGTAAAAGCCTAAGTGGAAATTTAGCCATTTCATTCTAGACATGACAATATAGACACTGCACCCACATTCATATTTGTCGTTTCTATCCAGTCAAGTGTTTGTGGTTTCGTTCAAAAGTGACTGGGCGCTGGTTTATGAAAGCGGTGGCACGTCACTGGCGGAAGGCGAGGCGTACGCAGTATGTAATAGATCCTCCCTTGGTTGTTATGATTCTTTTGATCCTGTCGTTACTGCAGTAATTGCTATTGACTAGAAGGTAACTGCTAACATTAACGAAATATTAATAATACTACTAGTTAAATAATTGCTCAGATGGAGAACTCCACTTAGAGAGGATGAATACAGGCGTTGCCTTAGTCCGCTTCCGCTGTTGAGAACTGCCACAAGTGTGGTGCCCATTATAATTAATCGTCGTCGTTGTTTCTAGATGAGACTCCCTTTTTCTATCGTGATGGCTATGGTTTAGCTTACAAAAGTAAAGGAACTTTGACAGGTGATATCATTTAAGCTCTATTGTGCCTAACCTTCGCTTTCAAATCTCAGTTGTTCAATGTTCCTCACCGATGAACTATCGGAAACGAATAGGCATATTGATACAAGTTTGCCTAATAACTATGTCCTGCTAAGCCTATCGGCTAAGAGGGCGCCACCAGACGGCCTTGAAGGTTGAGGTAAATGCATGCATTCTTTGTGTTATGTATTACGAATCGTTCGCAGAGATTCTTCACTAGCTTTAATCTTCACTGGATGCATTTAAAAGAGGCAAAGGAGGAAGGAAAAGATTTGACGACAACTGTGGATACCACAGCTAATGACATAATGTATGCATTGACTATAAAAGTAACGATTTCCTTTCCTAAATTCGTATGATGGGACCCCGAGCGAGAGCTTTTTTTTATTGTTTTCAGTGGATCATTGAAGCATATTTTAAGTGACTTCAATTTATAATATTGCTTGTGCATCGGTTGAGTAGCTAACCTTTATTAAATCTAAGTAATTCGGGTAATTACAGTTTTAAATAAACCTACGACCGATGACACTGGCGGGGTTATATTGATATCCTGTTATGAGTTAGATTCTATTTACCCATCTAGATACATGTTTATTTGTATCGCCGCTGACAGGTCTGAAAGTTCGTTACCAAAGGGAGTTTATTAATCTTTTTTCTGCCGTAATCGAAATTTGGTTTCCAAACGGAATATGCGCATTGAGTTACCTGACAAGCCGCTAGTAATTGAGTTGTTCGTAGGGCAGTTGAATACACGGAATTCGATGCTGCATAAATTTTATCTCTTACAACAGGATCATTTTAGGTTTTCTTTTTCTAACCGCAAAGCGTATCTTTTTCCCACTTTCAGATTTCAGATATCACCTTCAACCAGAATAACGAGGTGCTGACAAGTCGCGAAGCCCTTCTTCGATGGGCTCAGCGGACAACGCAAGGTTATCCGGGCGTTAAAGTTCGCGACTTCACGTCCTCCTGGAGGGACGGTCTCGCTTTCAACGCCATTATCCACCGTAACCGGTTAATATTGTTTGCTATTATCTAACTTAATGTTTCGGGAATTTATGTGCGTTCTTATCGCCATATTAAAATTGATTGTTCACTGTACTAATTAAAACTATTATTATTTCTGTGTTCAAATATAAGCTGACCCATCAACAGAATCTGTTACCGTATGATCTGTCCCCGTTCGGTTGCTTCCCCTCGCCAAACACGACATATCAACAATGAGTGAAATTACCAGCTATTACGGTTATGCCCTTGAATGGGTAGGATTTGTTTTGAATTTCCGTTGGGAGGCAGTGTTCAGAAGAAAAATTGAATTGATGGCGGCGCTCGTTAGTGCCAGTTCGTCGTAGAATCTACCACATTTGCTTTTCGAAGCTTTTGTCGAAGCCCGTACTGCATCGGACGAACGGCCCAGGTCACGAGCTGTAGTCGTCCTTGGTTTAGGCTCAAGTTAACGTTTCGTATTTGGTGTCATCGGGCACGTGATTCGAAGCACGATAAACGGCTACATGCGGGGATGCCGTAACAGAATCAGAATTCTTGCAGATAGCCACAGGCATGGCTGGTTCGCCTAAACAACATTTTACTGACTAGTGGTGTTTCGCTGAGATAGGACAAACATCCTATGAAACATCCTCAAACAATGATGATCCTATTAGTTTTTCTATATTACCCATTTGTATATCCTTATTTCTATTTATATTTGCACCGGATACCGAGCCGGTCGGTGGAAGAGAAACAAATTTAGGATTCAGCAGTTACTCAGAACCAATTTAGGTGAATATACCGAGGTAGCTGTGTTAGTTTTTTGTGTACCAGTTATTTTTCGTAAATTATTAAGAATGTCTCTTTTATTTATACAATTTTTACTACTAATGTAATACTAGTCCATGCACAAGACATGCTATCGTTCCCCATAGGCTAGACTGATTTCATCGAATCCAATTTAATGCACCGCGTAGAATCACCAGACGAAATAGGGCAACTACACACAGTATATTCTCAGTAGTAGTAGTAGTCACGTATATTCACGTGCAAGGCCACACAAATGGCTGTTCACGCAGCTGAGGTGACATGCAGCACCAAGTATATCTAATCTCGCGTCTCTACGACATTGTGCTGTTGTAGACCTGACCTCATCGACTGGCACTCTTTGTCCCGCCACACGGTTCGCGAAAACCTGGAGAACGTGTTCAATGTGGCTGAACGGGAGCTAGCTGTCACCCGCCTACTTGACCCCGAAGACGTGGATACTGCGCACCCCGATGAGAAATCAATCATCACTTACTTATCGTCCCTGTACAGCGTATTCCCCGAACCGGCTACACGTAATCCATTTGAGGATGAGAAGCAGCGAATTATTGACGAGTATCGTGATCTGTCCTCATCGTTGTTGCTATGGCTCAAACAAAACATCGCTCGCCTACAGTCGCGAAGCTTTCCCGATCGCGTCGAAGAAATCAAACAGCTGTATCAGGACAACGCGGCATTCCGTACGATCGAGATGCCACCCCGACTCAGCGAGAAACAGCGCCTGCAGTCCCTTTGGCGGGACATGCAGAAAATGATGCGTGAGAACCGAGTGCAGATGGATGATCAGTTGCGCTTCGACTTTCTTGACACGCAGTGGAAGAAAATGCTCCACGCACACGAGGACCGTGATCGTGCCTTGCAAGACGAAACCGCCAGGTACGTATTTTCAGTGACCACCTATAGAAACCTTCTTTCCAAGGGTCAATGAAAAGAAAATTGGAATCCCTGAATGTTCGACACGCATTTGATATTTTCGTGTCGCATTTGTTTGGAGTTTCAAATAAAAGATCGAGAACTCTTTTTTGTTACCTTGAGGTAAACTGTCTATAGTGTAAACAGTAAGTGTTAACTCAATATGAAATCATATTTATGTTGCCGGCAATCTATGTATCGCTTTTACAGGCTTGAAAAACTAGAGCGGCTCGCGGAGAAGGTCCAGCGAGAGGTTCACACGACCGACGGGAAGCTTGACGACATTGAGAACCGAATCCGGGAGGTCGAAAAGGACCTGTCCAGACTCAGACCCGAAGACGCCAAGCGCACCTGTGAAGTGTTCGAGCGGGATCTTCGTCGAATCGAAGAAACAATTCGAATGCTCTTTAAGGACGTGCAGGTCCTTATGGACGGCCGGTACTACCGCTCGAGAGAATTGCACAGGCTGTATGTATTATTTAACTAATTACTTTGACTTTTTAGGCGCATATATAAAAATTATTTTTTATTCCGATAGCTTGTAAGGCTGTCGTACTGGTGAGAACGTTTTATTTATTTTCGCAAATTTTAACGAACATGTAAAGCATACTATTCTGTGACTGTTTTTTGCAGTGTACAGAATCTGCAACAGAAGTGGGAGAGCGTACGAATCTTATACGAACGCCGACTCATTGACGCCCTCAACAATCGTCAGTACAAAGTTGAGGAAAAGAAAATTGTCAAGGAACGACAAATCTTCTCGGAGTCTCGTCTTCTGGAAACAAACGATGCCTTCAGATTCCTTCAGCAGTGTCTCGACTGGGTTAAGGAAAAGATGGTACGCACTAAGAGACGCGCTTGACAAATATCAGTGACACTATAGATTATTTTAACTTTAATAATTATTAGTACGTTTAACTGAGCCAAAACCCGTATATAGTAGTTCTGTCTGGCAGATTTCCCCAATATATTTTTGGCCCAAATCAAATTCTTATGCCAATTTCTATCTATTCTTGGGTATTGCAGAAGTACCTCGAAGAGGCTGACTACGGCAATGACTTGCCATCCGTTCAAGCACTTGCATCACAACATAAGACCGAGCAGAAGTTGATCGACCAATTTCAGAAGAACGTAGACACTTGCGTCTCGCGGAAGAAGCACTTCCAAGGACAAGAGCTTGACTTCTATGCCCGTTTATTAGCCCAACTTGAGCGGAGTTACTCGGACGTCGTAGTGCTGTCGAACAAGCGCATGTCTGACCTCGATACTCTGCTAGAGTTTGTCCGCCGCGCCCACGAGGAGATGACGTGGCTCAGCGAACGTGAGGATACCGAGATTAACCGAGACTGGGCGGCCGCTAACATAAATCTCGTCGAGCTAGAGGCTCATCAGAGCTCGCTTTGCCATCAGATGGAGGGTCGCGAATCGCAATTTAACTCGGTTCTCGAGCAGGGCAATAGCCTGATCCGCCAGCGGCATCCCGCTCACAAGACAATCGATTACACCCTTTCAGCGATGCATCTGAGTTGGAGCTGGATGGTCGACCTTATCCAAGCACTGCAAATACATCTTCGTCACTGCCAAGATTACCAGCAATTCTTCCGCGAAGCGAAGGAATGCGAACAGTGGCTGCAGACCATCGAGGAAAGGCTGAACACGACATTTTCACGAACCGTCTTCTCAATTGACGAGGGCGAACGGCTGCTCAAGCAAATGCAGGATATGCGCGAGGACATTTCGCGCTATTCGGCCATTGTCAATTCGCTCATCGACCGCTCGAAAGATACCCTGCCGCTCAAGCAGCGTCGCCAACCGCTGCCGCGCCCATTGCGGATGAATGCAGTATGCAATTATAGCCAGGGTAACATGCAGATCTACAAGAACGAACAATGCTGGCTGCACGATAATAGTCAACGTACTCGCTGGAAAATCATTAACCAGAAGGGCGCTGAGGGTATGGTGCCCGGCGTAGTGTTTTCTATTCCACCGCCCAATCCTGAGGCGATCGATCTTGCAGAGAGCCTCAAGAGGAAATACGAGTTGCTCATCAAGCTGTGGACTAAGAAGCAACACAAGTTGCGTCTCAACATGATTTTCGCAACTATTAACATTGTCAAGGGCTGGGATTTGAAAACGTTTAAGGCGATGGAGCCATCACAGAGGGAGAGCATCATTCGTGCGCTTAATGATGACGCAGACAAGCTGCTGACCGAAGGCGATAAGAACGATCCGGATATGAAGCGTCTGCGCGACGAGATCAAATACATCAGTAAGCTTTACCAGGACCTGTTACGTCAGCTCAGGGAGGAAGAAGCGGAGAATTCTCCCAACGCGCCGACGAGACGCTTCGCAGAAACCTCGACGAATCTCGATCAAATTTTGCGGGAGAAAGAGCGATTGCTCGTGCAGCACCTCAACGATCCAATTCCTCGTGACCTCGACGCCTTAGACGAACTTCATTCGCATCATAAAGACTTTGAAAGAGATCTTGGAAGCTATGAGGCTATGATAGCTGAAATGAAGGTGGCATTCAAGCAAATGACTAAGAGGACTCCCTCACAGCAAGATAAGCACGACAAAATTGTTGCTCTTTGGGACAAACTCTGGACCCTCTGCAGGATCTACGCCGAAAGGTATGTTTGTTCATTATTTTTATTCTAATTCCTAGTACACCTCAACAAACTCGAATGCACATAAGTGCAAAAAAGCGAAAGAGATCGAGCTGCTTTTTATTTTCGTACTAAATCGTTCTAAAAAAAAAAAAAATATATATATATATATATATTTTTTTTTTTTTTCAATGTATATATATGCACATTGCCAGGAAAGAGGACCTGAGTACGTACAACTCTGAATGACAGTTTGAAACGCTTCGTGCTCACAGGCATTGAAATCCTGGGTAGTTGTTGATTCGTTTTTGCAGGTCTTAGCCTTCACACAACGGCAAAGCAACAGATTGAGAAGTTAAGTTACTGGAACAACGTAGTAAAGAAAAGTCTCCGTTCTTAAAGTTCTTAGCAGACTGGCGCTGTGAATTTGAAGAGATCTTGTAGCCATTCGTGTGGCTCGGCATTCGATCCTGCTAAAGCCAAACAGCGTGACCCGTGTTCACGACGGCCAGCATGGACACACAAAGCAGCACATCTGGGTTATGGCAACGGCTAATGAGCACATTATCAGTTGTTGGGTAGAATAGTCCCACGAGTGCCGTTTGCTCTGTCATTGTAAACCTTTCCATTATGAAAACAAGTCAAAATTTTAAACGTTCGATTACCAGTTGGCTGCTCTGCTCCCCGACCATGGAAGGAATACGTTCAAAAAAATTCACTTTGGACATTGGAAGCGCGACGTTTATCTACGCGGTATAATTGCGTAATGTTAGTTAGTCTTTCATATGGTTCATGTTGTACTTTGTAACAAGAATTCTTTGTTATTTCAGGCTCAAGTCTGTAGAACTGGCGATCACTTCTTTGAAGGAATCGACCCAGGCAGTGTCCAATGTGGAAATCTCTCTGGCTTCTTATGAAAACCTCCCTCAGGATGAAGAAGCGCTCAGAAAGATCCACGAGGACCTGCTGGCCATCCAGCTGGAAATGCAGCAACAACAGCCACTTTTTGACCAGCTGGTGACGAATGTTACCGCAGCGAAGAAGGTGACAGAAAAGTCGCGACCTAACGTCTACACTCACCCCGATCTACGAAGATTTGATGAAGACACTAAGAAGGTGCTTAAACGCTGGAGTGACGCTCTGAATCAGATCGCTGAGAGGTAAGCGTTTCCTCTGCCCATCAATATACATCCCATGCACGTTCATCAAGTACGTTCGGGTGGGGTGGTAATACAAAGCGTATCTACTAGCACCAAATCGATCACGTACATTATAAATGCGTTTCAGAGAGATGCACTAGTAGCAACTACTCAGCTAGCTAGGAACGCGGTTGTGTATATATATATATATATATA